ATATGCATCTCTTATGAATAATCAGAGACTACAGAAAGAGAGAGGAAAGAGAAAAAAGAGACAATTGGAGAAACGATCTGACAGAGGATTCAAGAACCATAAATTTTCATGTATCTTGTCGTGATTTATTTCTGATTTCATACATTTTAATTGAAATCTGTATTAATATTAGAGCAATATGAAAGTGATTCTTAGTAAAACTTCCAAAATACATGATGCCATTTTATAACTCACGGAAAAACACAATGTATTACTTTTTACTATATGATATATGAAATACATACTAAAGATGAAGATGAATGATGAAGAATAATTTGACGATGAGAAGGGGATGATGCGAAACCTTTGTAGTCCCCAGCCATATGCAGACATAAAGCCTTTGGGGCCCTGATACGTATACAGTAACGGTACTGCATACTATACGTCGTCGAGATGTTTGCCATGCATACGTTAATAATAATAATAATAATAATAAGATTTATTAAGCGCACATCTCCACTAAAGTGCTCAAGGCAGCCATTTTTTGTTTTGTTTTGTTTTTCTAGGCTAAGTACTTATTTGAAAGATACGGTCCAACAGACCTAGCTCATTACTAGGTGAGTACTGTTTAAGTAGTGCTATTATTTATATCCAGTGGCGTAGGGGTGTGCGCGGGGGCGCACACGCCGCTCCAAAATAAAATAAAATCACGGTCAAGTAGCGCCCCCTCAACTGATCTTCGAGCCCCATCCACTTAACCTTTGCGCCCCCCCCGCCCCCCCCCCCCATTAGCACACCATTTCAAGACTGCGGGATACGCCACTGTTTATATCTTATATCTTTTAAATGTAAATACTACAATGACTTGTATTGTTAATAAATTCTTTTAAATAATTTTTTTTCTATTTTAAGGGTCCTTCTCTGTTTTTCCTACTCTTCTATTCCTCCCTTTAGCAATCTCTAACAAATCGCCTTTTCATCTGACAGCATTGACATCCTCCTGGTTTCGATATCACATTGTATTTCCATAGGTGTCCAGGCATTGATATATTATTTCCGCGAAGTAACGTCTACAGATAATTCTTATAAAAATATTATTCAGAAATTCTGACTAAGGAACACAAGACAGATATTTTTAAGATGCATAAAATAACAGTTAAGTTTGCATATGGCGATATTGTTGAAATAAAAATAAACAGAGGTAATATGTGAAAATTATTATATTTTATAAACTTTATTTCACTAATATGTAACTACTGTTAGTTTATAGGTTGTTGACATAGTAAGAATTTTTTTTTAGTTATACCCAAGATGTAGATGCTGCGCGTGCTTTCCGCCTGCGACGAGAGAATAAAGCTGGGGGCACGACTCGCAAGGTCCGTACATCACCTATTGTCCGCCTGCGATGGGCGCACGTATGTATAAGGACGATCGACACAAATTTATTTTAAAATTGACATCTTTGAAATGTTGAAATTAAGTGGATTGCCTGCTAACATTGTGTAATTTATCTTTGAGTTGCATAGATTTAGATTTCTTCTTTGTACGGTTTATTAGTTCCACAAAACTATTAGCGTTGTGTAACTCGTTACAAGTGATGCTCCAGGAATCAATGTGCCATTCGAGACTATTTCTACCGTCTCGTTCTCCTATGATGTACAGTTGAAATAAATGAAACCTTAAGTAATTTTAAATATACTTGTAGATGGTGTTGTATATGATGATGACGACCAGTATTTCACTCTTAATAACTTGCTTTAATAGGTGATTGGAAACACTCCATCGACTACGCCAATCGTTGAAGTGTACGTCTGCACGCCCTATTGCGGTTAGGGTGTTAGAACCAATTCTTTTGTAGTCAAAACACATGTGTTTGTGTCCCTCTCTTGTATACTGCATATCTGATTACGCGACTTCATTTTGTAAGTTTTCACTAAGGCCTTGTTTTAACACTGATGGTTTGTGCTCAGCCTGTGATTTGCAACGCGTTATCACATGTTATGCAGTCCTGATAAATGGCGCGAAGAATTCTCGTTAACTTTTTTGCCTCTTATAATCTGAGTTTATGACGAATCACGTTAATGCCTGCTCAATCGAATACTGTAAATTGGCATTTGAGTATGTCCTAGTATTCCGTACATAAAATCGAATTATCAAATCTACGATTGGGTAAGTGATGGCAATAATGTGAAAGATATCCGAGTAATGATTAAGAACATCATCATCATCAGAAAAAACATCATCATGTTACTGGTTTTTATGAAAACTTGATTCCGCATCGCAATCGAAAGGAAAGACACGCAACAGTACCGACCAGTATAGGCCATTTTAGTATCATCATGTGTAGCAATGAAACATTAATATGTTTACAAATCTGTGGTTTTATATTTATTAGTGGTTGCTTAAGCCTCATCATATAGGCCTATTTTGTCGTCGATGGCATTTCATAGTTAATTGTCATTGTTGTTATCATTTATAATTATTATTGTTATATCATCATTATTATTATATCTATTATGATATTAGTCGTTCTAACTATCCGTAGCATCCCAAAATACACATTCCTACGATAGAGATAGCAATTAACATCAACGACATCTTCATGTTTTGTATCACACACCGTCGTTACAATTTCACAGAGGTGGGCGAATCACACTACATTGTATGCTCGCAACAACAGATCATTCATTCGAGAAATTAGTCTTGTGCGCGCAACTTATTTTCCAAATAATCAGTTCAGTGAAAATGATATAAGCGGATAGCTAGTAATGACGAGGTTTCATAATAAGGGATTCGCATCATTGAATATAATTTAATTTGAATACATTGGTCATAAAGAATATAAGTAAGCACCTGTCTTCGATTCATTATGGAGTGGTTAGCATACGCTGTTTGAATATCATAGGACTATCATATTGGCCGTAAGCACTTTTTCTATTTAGTCAGTTTTCTTCCTAAACACCTGACACAAAGATTGATCTATTGTGCAAATATATCAAAAGAAAAGGATGTTAAACTTAAATTACATCAGTACAATTGTGTGTTTTTCGCTTGCGGTGAAGTCTGTGATCCTTGGAATGGTGTGTGGCACATCGAAACGTTATGATCACGGTATTTGTTTATTATGGTTGTTTAATCAACATAATCGTCATCGTCATCATCACCATCATCGTCATTATCATTAGCACCATCCACATCACCATCATCCAAAAAATAAATGAAAGGAAAAGATTAGAAAGATTAAGAAGGAAAAATAAAAGGGAAAGAAAGGAAAAGAATGAAAACGGAAAGGTAAAGCAAGAAAAAAAAAGAAAGAAAACGAAAGGGAAAGGAAGGAAAGAAACGGAAAAAAACCCCGAAATGGTTGAGAAAAGAAAGAAAACGAAAAGGTAATGAAATGAGATGAAAGAAAACGGAAGGGTAAAGAAAGAAAAAGAAAGAGAAAGAAACAAAACGAAAAGTAAATAATGGGGAAAAAAAGAAAAAGAAAGAAAACGAAAGGGAAAGAAAGAAAAGAAAAAGAAAGAAACCGAAATGGTTAAGAAAGGAAAAGAAAAAGAAAGAAAACGAAAAGGTAATGAAATGAAAAGAAAGAAAACGAAAGGGTAAAGAAAGGAAAAGAAAGAAAACGAAAGGGTAAAGAAAGAAAAAGAAAGAAAATGAAAAGGTAAAGAAAGAAAAGAAAATGAATGAAAACGAGGAAGTTTAAGAAAGAAAAAGAAAGGAAATGGCAAAGAAAGAGAAAGGAAAGAATAAGAAGTGTGGAAGTGAAAGAAAAGGAAAATATAATGTAAGAAAAGGCAGAAGAAAGGGAAAACATGGAAAGAGGTAGAGAAATGAAAAATATAAAAGTAAAAGGGGGTAGGGAAGAAAAGGTAAAGAAAGGAATTACAGGGGAGTAAAGGAAAAGAGAGACGTGTCGTAAGTATGAAAGAAAATAAAAGAAAAGGGGAAAAAAGAAATGGAGAAAAGAGTGAAAGGTAAGTAAGGAAATACGACTAAGGAAATAAATATTTAACAATTATTTTTAAAAAACAGTAAATAAAATTCTTTATTTTCAAATTATTTATTTATTAACATTATGTATTTATTTTATTGTTGTTATTCATTATTGTTACTCATTGTTTTTGTTAGGTGAAACTTTGAAAAGTTGTTACTACACCATGCTGTAAAGCGCATACAGGTATTTTACACTATGCGCTATATAAATTTACAATTATTATTATTATTATTATTATTATTATTATTATTATTATTATTATTATTATTATTATCATCCCCATCATTATCATCATAATCATAATCCTTATCCACGAGTCATCACCATCATTATCATTTTTATTGTTGGGCTTATTATTATTATTATTATTATTATTATTATTATTATTATTATTATTATTATTATTATAAAATATAAGACTGTGTTAGATAATAATTATTAATTGCATTAACATTAATTTCTATTTCTGTTTTGTACACGGGCAGCGGTTAATCTCCGCTTTTCACTTTCCGTCTTTATTGGACTATGATAGTCTACGTCATATAATTGTACTGGTATTTATTTATGTGTTAAATGGACAATTTCTGACACAAAAGCGAATGAATGAATTAATTAATTAATAATAATATTAATATTAGTTTCATTTCATTTATTCACTTTCATTTATTTTAATATTTTAAATATTAATACTAACTAAAGTATTAATATATAATATATATTTATAGGCCTATCTTTATCAATATTACTCATATTAGTGTTAATATTATTAGTTAATATTTTGTGACAAGGAATTTAATAACCTGGTATTATCTTCCATTGTCAAGTCCTCAAGCTTTGCCTTCCGGCCTCCAATAAAACATCGCTCTTGAAGTTGGTGTTACCTTTGACCTTTGGCCGGCCAAATACACCTAGCTCATTATTTTCAATAACGCAGTACACTCCTATTATAGGCATACTCAGTCCATCGGAACTAATGCCTGGAAATAAAGAACTTTAAAAAGTATAAACTTTTGACCCACAATTTGACAGCGTGGATGTATTAATATTCTTCAATTATGCCAAAGCTATCACGCCTATAGCGTGTTTCAAACTTAATTCATTAATGATCCACACACCTTATTCAGCTCTTTATACATACTTTAATGATATTTACACAATATTCACTTAGTAAGAGTCACGTGATACTGTATAAGCCGGTCTATTGGATATTCGAATACAGTATTAGCAACAATACATGTTAATGCATATTACATAAACAATTATTAACTTATTTACATAAAATTCGTTAACGTCATTTGAAACATACTACATAGTCAAGTAACCCGTAGTCAAAATAATTATGGAGTGATAGCGTTAATGTAGTAATAGTAATAACAATTAAAATAATAATAATATAATAATGATGATGATGATAAGATAATAATGATAATAAACATAAAATATTTGAGTGAAATTCAATTGCACATATGATGTAAGTAATATTACTGATTAAACGACGAACTTGCAATACAACAGCCACGAATATTGTTGACTTAAAAAAGAATTTCTTTAAAAATATTTACACAGTTGTTTACAGTCAACTCAAGGTTGGGCTTAATTTATGATTTGTAAGATATACCATAATTTTACCACTACCCTGTTTTTTTGTTTGTTTGTTTGTTTGTTTGTTTTTTTTTGTTTTTTTTCAACTAATTCTTTTTTTGGCATAGAACTCACAGCCGATACTTGATTTATTTCTTGTTTAATTGATTATTGTAATATATTTTTCTATTCGGTAAATAAATTCGTCAGCGGAGTGATTTTTTTGGGATGCGAACTTTTCTAAAAGTACGCATTTGTTTACTCTAAAAACAAACAAAAACATCGGAAAGTTTGTGTATACGCGGTACTTGTAGAGATATCTACTTAGCGTATTTCAGGCCTATTCTATGGAGAACTGGAATTAAATCGTGAAGACAAGAACAAACTATATGGTTATAAACCATGAAGAAATACAGAGAAATTTAAACTAAGCTGAGACATTGCACAGAATAACGTACTTTCAACATTATTTCTATAGTAGGACTATTAAAAGAGAGAAATAAACATTGTTTATAATAATAAACCTAGTTTCCGTAATTAAATCTACTGTGCACTCTTCTTGCTGCAGTTTAGCAGTTGACTGCAAACGAAGGTCTATATAGGCTATCTGAGTCGCATACGTAAACATTATAAGTAATATTGCTGAATCGATTCAGTAACACATTACACGTTACGTGAATTATCCAAAGTTAGAAGACGATAAAACAAAAGAATATTTGTTTAGAATTATGCTTTATGGTTATACGTTTTTTACCTGACTAAAATTTCCGGATTGGATTTCCGGATTGCCATTTTTTGAAAAATATATATGTATAAAAAAAATAAATCAATATTAAGTAACAATTATAAATAATAATAATGTCATAAGACTCGTCGTTTGGTCCATTAATCTTGCTGCCACTTTTGTAGTGTTTTTTTCCATCGTGTTGGTACTCAGGAGGACCGCATATCTGAGCCTCTCGCGTATGAAGCGCCAAGTAGGCCAATCTCTTGGTACACGATCTTCGTTAGGAGTGGAAGATAAGCTTGTGCCGGTAGATAATTGTTAAATATAGGCCTGCACCATTTCTCTTAATGGAGTGATGATGGAATGATTCGTTTGTGGATTTTGGCTTTCTTAAGTCCACCGCTTTACCATCTTAGATTTTGATGAAGTTCTAAATGTGTTATCACAGTGGATCTACCGACTAATTTTCCACACACACATATTGGAAATAAGTTTATTATATTTAATATATTGTATGTATTATGTTTCATGTTGAAGGTGATGTAGGTGATGAGCGTGCCATATCAGTTGCTGCTTTGGCTGAGCTGTCGCTCCAGGGTTGAATGCTCTGTAACGCGTTCAGTGAGCTGTTATGAACGCAGACAGTGTCGGCCGTAGAGGGCTCTTGAAGCTGCTTGATCATCGCTTCATGTTGAAGGTTGAAGACGAATCGTGCGGCTGCTTGTCGTTCAGCTTCTCGCTCTTCTGCCGTTTGTCGTCTGAAAAAAAATTGTATTAATAATAATGATGGTATATGTAAAAAATAAGTCAAATCATGATATAATCAAGAGATAAACTCTAAATCGTCTTGCGGTAACGCTATAT